AATAAACGTTGAAAAAAAAAATTTAAAAAAAAAAATTAAATAAATAAATAAACACTAAAAATAAGATACACAGACATAATCCTACGGACCCATCATTTCACTGACATTCCTCGAAGTTGAAAAAGGAAATCACACAAATGGCATTAACAAATAACGTGACAAACGTGAGCTGGTGATGTTTGAGGCGTGGAGGTGTGATTGGAACAGGCCGCTCGTGTCCCACACTCTGTTTCTGCGTGGCGTGGCCCCCGGCCACGGACACCCTCACCCTCCGCCACCACGCGGTTCAGGTCTCAAAGCAAGCTCGCCCGCCTCACCTTGAACGTGAACTTGGAGGCGCTCATCACTTCTATGATGTTGAAGGCAGCCCAGCTGATGTCATAGCCCAACATTTGTAACTGTTGAAGAGACAGGCACAGTGATTTTCACTCACACACCGAGGCTTGAGCCCCAACGTCCAACATTCTGTCTCAGCTCCTATAGGACCGCCACACGCTTCTCGAACAGGCGGGCCTCTCCACGCACACATCCCGGGGCATTTCATTTCTTCTTCTGACGGGCTTGCCTTCCCATTGAAAACCACAGGACCATGTTAATCACAAACACAGGAGGAAGGCCTGTGGTTGAAATACTAGCGTCCAGGAGTACTGGTTAAAATTCCCCACACCCCCAAAGTGACGAGGCACCCCTGGCAAGCCTTCCACCTCCCTTCTGACCAGCAGAGGGGCCAGAAGAGGGGGGCCTGGCCCAGGCCAGGCGGGGCCCACTATGCCCCGAGCCCCAGGGTCGTCGCGGCGTGCCTTCCCTCAACTTTGTGCCAAGGCCGGTGCCTGGGGATGACAGTGTCAATGTCTGGCAGGCGGATAGAAGCGGACGGTGGACGGATAAACGGGTGGACAGAAGGACGGATGGAGGGATGGTGGAATCTACAACCCGCCTGACGGCGTCGGGGTTGGGGGGGCTCCGCCCGAGCAAACGGTCCGCAGTACTTACGTAGGTCAGCTTGCAGACCGCGTTGGCTTTTACTGCGATGTTGTCTTGCTTCAGCTCTTGCTTGATTTCATCAATGCACTGAGAGATATACTTTGCCTAAAAGGGAAGCAGACAGCGTTGGAAAATCCCAAGTGTCTAAAACGGTCAAGAAAGCAGGCAAACGCAAGAGGCCGCCCGCCGTGTGATTCCGCTGGCGTGAAACACCCCGAGCAGGCACATCCACACACACAGGAAGCAGGCTGGTGGGTGTCGGGGGCTGGGGAGGGGGGCTGGGGTGACACAGCGCTCTGAAGCTCACTGCGGTGACGGCTGCCCGACTCCTGAATGCACCGGCGAGAAACCGCACCGGTGACTCGTACAGCACGCGAGGGTCTAATAGAGCTGGCACTTAAAGAAGCCGCTTCAGAGGAGGAGGAGGAGGAGGAGGAAACTGCTCCTGAGTCCCTCAGTCCTGAGAGGACAGGACGACGGTGAGAGCCGGACTCCCTGCCACGGAAGCAGGTGCCGCAACACGTTATTCCATTTTCGCAACTTGTGTGCACAGCTGACGTTTCCCTTCTCTTTCTTTTTAAGCACTGTCTGCACTCAACGCGGGGCTTAACTCACAGCCCCGAGACCAAGGATCCTATGCCCTCTTCTCATTGAGCCGTCCAGGCGCCCCCTAGCGGTGGTTTTCTGTGTCGCCATGCTTTAAAAGTTAAAAAAGAACTTCAACACAGAACAACACTAAGACACGGGGTCCTCTAGTTTTAACAGCTCGCACTGAGACTCGCCCAAGGCCCAGAAGTAACTCCCAGGTCCCGCCGTCCACCCGCTGACGCCGGCTGCTCGACACCCAGCTCTCCCGTCCGGTCCTGCCCTGGCGGCGGCGAGCTCGTCTGGGCGTCTCCGTGGCGCCCGCTGGCTTCTGTCAACGGGCACCATGTCGGGGCTCGTGCTCGCGGTAGCACAGGGTCTGCGCGTTGCTCTGTCTCCCCCACACACACGTAGGCCACCTCGTGTTTATCCGTTTGAAGGATGGACACTTGCAAACTGCCCGCTTTTTCAACTCCAGGAGTCACGCCGCAGGGGTTGCGGGGACACGGTCCGAGGATTCCCTCGGGTTTCCTCGCTGATTCAGCACGTCTACCACTCAAACGGGCTTGACCCGAAGCAGTACCGACACACGAAGTCAAGAGCCACTGGCGTGCCCCTCTGGGGGGGGGGGGGGGGGGGCTGCAAGGATCCTTTTACCCCTGCCCCGAAGAGGCCTCAGAGAGGAGCCACGAAGCGAGTGGCCACCGCAGGGCTCGGAACGAGTTTGTCGGGTCAGTGCCCCAGCCCCGCACGTGCCCAGCACTCCATGCAGCACGAGGAGCCTCCCGTCTGTCATGTGGCCAACAGCAACCACCGCTAGGATGTGCCCAGTTGGGCACCTGCCGGCAGGACTCAGTGGTCAGCCTCTGGATGCCGTCCCCAGGGTGACCGCATCGCGAGAGACCAGGGTGGCAAGCCCATGGCGGGCTCCTGCTCCAAGCGTCCTGTACACTGGCCGTGCACCCTGCATTCCCGTCCCCCGAGGCCACACCCCGCTCGGCCCCGAGACGCTCCTCTGCCTGAAGCACAGGCTCCTGGGGACAGGAGCCATCGGAGCCCTCTCTCAGCCAGGGAAGAGTTCATGAATATTTTACGATCGAGAGTCGGTGCAATGGAGCAAGTGTCACTGTATCCTTCCAACAGGCTTCCAGTTACTAAATCCCACTTGGGAATCTTCACTTGCTGTCCTTGCACACAGATAGCCCTTCCTGCATCCTGGATCATGACCATTAACCATTTAAAAGGGGAGAAGATAGGGGGCTGTCTGGCTGAATGGGTGGGGCATCCAACTCTTGATCCCGGGGTCGAGAGTTCAAGCCCCACACTGGGCGCGGAGCCTACTCTGAATGAACAAATGCACGAAATGGAAAGGACAGGCAGACAGTAACAAGTGTGGGGGGACTCACGCTTACGC